TATAAATTTTTATGTTCATTGTCTCAGAATTCTTATGTTAACTGGTATTGTACGTGGCAGAATGAGTATCATCACCTATCAACCACATTAAATTGCAGTGTTATTAGACTTGTTAGATAAAGTTATCTACAATTAAGAAAGAAAAAAAAGATTTTAAAAATAATAAACATCTCTAAAAATTAAAATTAAAATTAATTAATGTATAAATTAATTTTCTGAACTATTTTTAACATATGTATAAATTAATTTTAATTTATGCAGAAAGTATTTTTTTTCTTTCTAATTATTTTCAAAGAAACATTTATAAAAAATTATCTAAAAAAAAAGAAAAAAAAAAAAAAAAAAAAAAAAAAAAAAAAACCTGCAAAATTGATATAGGTGATTGGTGATGCTCAGTGAAACACGTAAAAAACCTGATAGCATGACACCTTTCAAAATTTGCAACTTAAATGTTTTTGGCTTTTGTTGTTAGTCAAAATTAACATTGACTTGAGTGTGTTGAGTGACGTATGAGTATTACATGTGTTCTTCTTGCAAGTTACCCTTTGAAATCAATTGAGTTTTGTTATTTCATAATGATGATAGATAGATTATATATACTCATCACACAAAGAGTCAATTATATGCCCAAATTATTTAATAAATAATTTGTTAAAATTTAATAGTGTTTAATTTGATATAGAATTTTATTAGTTAAACTTAAGTTAATAGATATTTATTAGAGGAATTTTATCGTTAACACTAAGTGAGTTACGAAGTTATGATATTAGTGATTATTCTAAAAATAAATAAATAAATTATTTGTCACATATTTGGACTCTCTAAATGCCACAAGGAACTGAAAATCCTTAAATTTGCTATTCTAAATTTTTTTTTTCAAGATTATTTTATCTCTATTAATTTTCAAAATATTTTGTTATTAAATTTGTTTTTTAAAATTTAATTTGTCATTGAATTGGTTCTTAAAGAGATCGATAATTAATTCTGCTTTTATATAAAGTTGTACGGTGTCTTAATCTAATTTTTTTAAATAATAATAAGTTTTAATATGCAGTAGTTTCTCTATTTTTAAATTTTAGTTGTTTTAATATATTTTTTTCACAACTATAGACTTTTTTAGATTTTCAAGGTGTAATTATGCATTTTTCTTTTAAATATATCCTTATATATAAATAAGAAAAAAAATTGATAACTAATTTTTATAAAGTACTTGTAGAGGAATATTAGTAACTACTATTTTAAAGTAATGCACATAATAAATATTTATTTTATATAACTAAAATTTATAATGAAAATAATTTTAAATATATAAATAATAATTAAATTTTATAATAAAATTTTAAATGTGTAAATTATATTTTAAATCTATGATAAATAATTTATATTATAATAAAGAAATTAACTGTTAGTTCTTTTTGTAAAAAAAGTATTTTAAAAATGAAGAAAAACTAAAAAAAAACTTTTATTGAAAACATTTAAAAAAAAATATTCTGATATAAAACAACTATTTTGATTTTAAATATACTGACGATCAGTGACATTTGCATTATAAAGAAATATCATCCCATCAAAGGACACGTCGGAAGCGTAATTATAAACGTGGGAAATGTGTTTGATAATATTTTCATACATTTAAAGAAGAAAAAATATTAATAATTATACTCCCTTCATTTTTTTTATAGTTATTTTGGCAATATTTTTTTTTCTTTGTCAATTTTTCAAAATTAGTGACTTATTAAAATTTTTTTCATTTTTACTCTTGATAATTAATGCATGTTTACTGAACAATGTGTCTATTTATTTTTAATGCACTACTTATTTTTTCTCTAACCACCTATGTGAAGTTAATGTTGCATTTATGAGAGTAACATAATTTCAACAATATTATTTATTTATGAATTTTTTTTATTTCTACAGTATTCATTCAGGAATTAGGATACTCAAAAAACACAATTTACTTAAAGGTGTGATTAAATGGAGTAGGTTACAGTTCACATATGTATATTAATAATCAATACATTAATTCATAGACTTCTCAAAAAGCACATAACAACAATAAGTGTACATAAATCAACAGTCTCAAGACTTAAATGCAAAAAAATAAAAATAAAAATAATGGGTATAACATGAATAAATATTTTTGAAAACTAAAATATCAATCATTTCTTTAAATCTCGTGCAAAAATCTTAAATGACTATAAAAAAAATGGAGGGAGTAGTAGATAGTATTTTTTGTTTTTGATAAAAATAGAAAAGATTACAAAGATAACTATAATGAACATTGAACCTAGGTTCACATGCTTATAATTTAATAAATTGTAAAAATAAATATTAATATTTTAATTTAATTTAATTTATATAAATTAAATATTTCTTAAGAAGAGGGTTCAAACGGCATTAGTATAATTTCACTAAGTATTACACTGCTCAATAACTTTATATTAAATGTGAATTTTGTATAGCTAACCATTAGATTATAATTTCATATCACTTTATTTATATCAAATTTTGTTAAAATTGAATAAGTTAAAGGTAATCAAAGTGTTTATACTTTATTATATTTTGAAATGTATATATTACGTCAATTTTTTTTATAAGAATAAAGTATCAAGTCATCTTGGATTAATATAAAATTTTGTATATATGATCTAAGAGTAAAAAACTTTCAATCTAACAGTTAGATTTACAAAATTCACATTTAATATAGAGTTATTGAGCGGTGCAATATTTAGTAAAAGTTACATCAGTGTCGTTTGAACACTCCTCCATTTCTCTTAATATATGTAAAAAAAAAAAAAAAAAAAAAAAAACTCCTTCTCCTTTTATGTTAAGAAAATGTGAGGGAACAATACATTAAAAAATATTACATGAAAATTAAACTCAAACATTATAAAATCAAAATAAATTATAACAATCTTAACATATAAGGGTTTATACTTCTAAATTAAAACATTAAAGTATTAACATATCAAACTTACATATTTAATCTAAAAACATATTAAGATAGAAAGAGTACAATAATTTTAAACTAAAAATATATTAAATTCATTACTTATTATTTACACTTATTTACTAATATAATACTAAAGTCACTCATATTTTAAAGAGAAAATTGTATTGACCACCTCTAGAATCTTTTTAAATGACACACACATTTTCTCTAGTTTTTAAATGAATAGTAACCTCACTTATTTTATCTAAGTTACATATATAACTCCTTATATAAGATAACATCATTTATGCATATTAAAAGAAATTAAATTATTAATACATGTGTCAACAATTGAATGAGACTTAATCTATTATTTAATTTAAATTTCAAATTATATATTAAATATCATACGTATTATAACTTAAAAAATATACCAATTTCAAGAAATAATTAAAAAAAAAACTAAGAAGCTATTATTTTTAAAATTGAAGCCCAAAAAAATTTCATAAAGAAGAACAGAGCATTGTATGTAATTAACATAATATAAATTGACTTGTATTTTCTTTTCTTTATTTCACTTTGACTAATAATCTTATTTTAAAAGAGATAAATAATTTTTAAAATATTAGAAGAAAAAAATATGTGTCATTTAAATCTCAAAAAAAATATGAATGCATTTTTCTTTATTTTAGAAGTCATCATAGAAAGTTAGAAAAAATAATTTTTTAATAGTAAATAGATCAACATGCGAGATTCGCAGATAGATTCACAACTTAAATCTGCGAAACTTGCAAACCTGAAATCATAAACACACCCATACATACCCATCTTATATTCATACCCTAAACCCTAAACTCTAAACTCTTACACACACCCATTGCGAGGCCTGAGAGACCGGTGATAAATACAATACTTGAGAAAAAAAATGATGTTTTAAAGAATTTTTTCGTGGCCGAAGCAAAGGGTGTTCCAAAAATACTCACCCCAATTGTTATTAAGTTTTATTCGGATCAACTTTCTTTCCAATTCAGTTCATACACAATTCAATTCAGTTCACCTGTTTTTCAACATTTAAAGCAAATTTCTTTTGTTTATTAAAAGCATATCGTACTTGTGCAACGTTTTTGTAGTGTTCTTCTAGCCTAAAAATGCAAAAGCAATGAGGTAACCAGCCACCTATATCAAATTTATCATTTTAATCTTGTGTTAAATCATCAAACGACAATTATTTTAGTTAGTTACGAAGGTTACTAAACAACGATTATTTTAGTCCTAAAAATTACAACAATAAGGACTGGTGATTTATATTTAATTTTCATAGACCAAAATGACATTATATACTTTTTTTAAACTAAATTAACTGCTACCCAAAATTCCTGGGACTAATTTAGCGTATTTACTTGAATGAAAAATGTTGCATAACTCTTGCAATTCAGCCAAAACCTGGAATTAAAACATTGCAACGAAACTGTTTCTATAGGAAAAGAGCTGCACGCTTAAACACAACCAAAAGTAATTGTCGAATGTTGCTTTAGTTGCATCCCAAAACAAACGCAACCCTGTTTTGGAAGCACAAGGACAGCAGTATGGCAATTTCCATCTTTGAAAATGTGGTTCACCATGAACCAATTATTTTAAACTAAAAGATACATTTATAAAAAGAAATGACTGGTCCAGATTTAGAATAGGATTTTAGTTGATAAAAAAATTATTATATTTATTTTATTTTATTTTGGGAAATGTCCATTTTATCCCAACAGCAACAAGTGCCTAGCAGCATACAAAAAAGAGAAGTGCTACCAACACACTAAACAGATTTTTCTAGAACACTATTTACTATTAGTTCAAATTAATTAAACATTTCAGCATTGTAAGTAAAGCTCGTTAAACAAGTGGAATCCACAAAATTTTATCATTTCCACTAGATTTCGATCGTGTTAAAAAGAAAATATTAAAGCATGTGTTACTATGAAACATAGGATAGGATGGATCTTTTTTCCTACCTAGTCACTGTCAGTCAGTCATAACATTAGTAGACAAATAGATAATAGATAATATCTGAATCAATTTTTTTCTTTCTTCCAGAATGAAAATAATGAAGTTGATTGTGCTTCAAATTGCTTTTAGTGGAGCTAATTGGGGTGTTGGGGAGGGGTAGTTGAGAAGGATCTAATATCACATCACAGTAACGTGTGTATGATTTCATTCAGAAACAACTAATTTACACGAAAGGAAACACTTCTCAAATTTACAAGCCTGTTCGCTTCCTCCCAAAACCCAGATTAAAACATAATTTAACATTTGGCTATTAGGACTGACTAACAACAAAATTAGCAAGAGAGAAGAAGACTATGTGCTGCCAAGCTTCACTGCTTGCAAGCCTGAGGATATAATATTATCTGATGAAGTAAACTCTTAACTACCCTCAAAATAAGGTTGTTAGTTCAAACCTTGGGCTGATGACCTAGCTGATGATGACTCACCCAAAGAAACTGAAGCCAGAGATGAAGCCCAAACGCCGGCACTCCTTGCCCTTTCATGAAAATACCTCGTCTTGCAGAGTCTTAGCTTAGTCCAAACCCTTCTGACATCGATCACCTGAAGCACACGTCCCATCACTTGGCTCGTCTCACCAAATATTTGTATGTTCAGATGAGGAATGCTGGAAGCCCAGAATGCTCGAAGACGCGATATGATCTTCGGGAATACAAAAAGAAGTAACCTCAAGCAGAGAAACAATACAGAGAATAACAAGTAGGGTTCCCTGCTCCATGTTTCTTTCAGAGACAGACCAAACAGGTTTGTAGTTGAATTCTCATCACTCATTATGTTGCTTGGTTGACCAACAATATCACTAATTGCTTCAAATCCTGAGACAAGCAGAGAGGTCAATGGAGGCCATGTAGATAAAAGTTATCAGTTGTTGAATTTTCTTATACTTCATGTAAGGTGTTAAAAGGTCAAAAATGGCTGTTAACTATATATTGAATATTACCTATCAAGATATGTGATATACTTACTTGTGTTCCTCTCATAAAATTCTGAAAGAGAGAGAAGATTGTTTGGACCATGATATCTCAACCTTGATGTCTGGTTTACTAGTAATATTGCAGGCAAGCTATGGATTCCATATTTTGAAAACAAGCTGCACACACAAACAAATGTGAACATCAACATACATTTACAAAGGTATCCTATTGAATATGCCATAATTTCTGCTGAACTTTAAATTCGTGTGTAAAATACCAAGTAGGAAATAATATATTTATTACTTGTGCCATTAGCCTAACTAACAAGAAATTGAGAAATGTTAACGACACAATTTCTATTGCTCTATCATTAGGTGAAATCCATGCAGATTCTACTATATTTAGCGGATTCCACATGGATTTCATCTATTAATCTAGAATTTGTTCAAAGAATATGTCAAAAAGTGTAGCACTAGCATAGGAAACTAGATATTGCTGATCCAGGACTAGAAATTAACTACTGCAAATTGTATGCCATCCCCAGACCAGGCAAACAGCAAACAATATGCAGCAAAAGAAAATAGTTTCATCACAGCAGAAACTTAAAAATAGGAGCAGGGATAGCTTCAAAACCTGGGCAAAGCTGATGATTGCTCAAGAACAAAATGTTCTACTTGAGGAAACATGGAACTGAGAATTTCAAATTGAGGAAGCATTTCGCGAGAAAATGGGCACCAAGAAGCATAGAAGAGTATAGAAATATACTCTATCTTGTTTCTGCCAGACAGAATTCCTTCTACAAATTTTCCATCCACCTAAACAAATCAAAATGAAAAATTGAATACACATCATCAGAATGCGAAAATTGGTGTAAGTCCATAAAACATTATTAAATCTTAAAACCTATGTAAATATTAACTCAAATCTATAATTAAAGCTATGTAGCAGAATAATGACGGACACAGTGCATCTTGTCTATATATAACAATGATGGGAAACATGTACTCATACAGGTCAGAAGCAATTGGGCTTAAAAAAATTATGAAAAACGTGAGAAAAGCCTAACATGGCTCATGGAATTAAAAGAAACTGCTCATATTGTCACTTGTCAGCTTTGATTTCTACTAACAAAATAAGCCAAAGGCATTCATTGTTCCAAACCCAATCTGTCCCCTTCTCAGCCCTAATATGGTCACTTCAGTTCATAAAGAGGCTATTTTCTTGAACTCAATAAAAATGCAAGCAGTTTAAAATTCAGCAGATTTTAAAATAGGAAATTTATTACCATTTTCAATAAAGCATAAAATCCTTTTTATATCCAGCCAAATTATTTTGCAGTGAAGAATCATGGGTAATTACAAACTCGAGATGAGATCTTAAACCAATGCCATCTCCTGCCACAATTTTGGTCACAACAGATGTGGCCCAATTTAAAAAAGGATATGGTCCAAACAAAGATTCCATTCATGGAAGGCCTACTGATCACTGTTGGCTTAACCATGTTGAATTAGGATCAATTTCTTTTTTGAATTTAGCTGTTAACTTTTTTAATATTTAGTTCTTTAATAAGTTAACTTCTTCCACCCAAGCTTCATGTACAGCTAAATTGACTATAACAGTGAAAGATGACACTGAGTTAATAACACCTAACATGGTAAGAACTAACAAGTACATATACACGAGCAATGGGTGGTTGGTGAACAGCTTTGATTGGTCAGTTACCCTATGCAGGGAGAAAAAGAGAAAAGAATAGCAACAGTGGTGAATTATACAATCCCATTCCTTGGTTTTATGCTTTTGGAAATCAAATATTAGCGTTTCTCCTTATGGCCAGGATAGAATAGCAACAGTGGTGAATTATACAATCCCATTCCTTGGTTTTATGCTTTTGGAAATCAAATATTAGCGTTTCTCCTTATGGCCAGGATAGAATAGCAACAGTGGTGAATTATACAATCCCATTCCTTGGTTTTATGCTTTTGGAAATCAAATATTAGCGTTTCTCCTTATGGCCAGGATAGAATAGCAACAGTGGTGAATTATACAATCCCATTCCTTGGTTTTATGCTTTTGGAAATCAGATATTAGCGTTTCTACTTATTGTCAGGATGTGATAGTCCCTTACTCCCTTATCATCATCCTAATGATTTTACTGTTCAAAGCCAACTACAATAAAAACACCACTGCAGCAGAGATCACTTTACCCAAAACAATTTTTTTCATCAACAAAGAGTAACAAGAAATCTTATAGAATTATTATAGTCAAATAGTGCACTAGAGCGGAGTAGCAACAGCCATTGACCATAGCAACATTTAAGTATTGAGCAGCCTCAGTATGTCTCACTGCCCCAAGCGTCTTTTCAGGCACTATAGCAGTGCTATGATGGGCTCCAGAAACCCATTTTATCCCTGAAACAGCACCATTTAAGGGTTATTTTCAGGGTAAAATTGTAATTTCCCCCATTTTCTAATTTGTTTTTTGTTTGAAAACATTATAGGGTTTGAAACCCTTCTTCCTTGGTCATTCACATAAAAAGTTAACCTTTTTTTTCAAACTCCAATGTCACCCAGTGACCCACCCACAGCTTGTTGGTGTCTGTTTCTACTCTTCCTTTGGTCTCTGTTAATGCATCAGAGCGCAATCTCAGTTTACACTTGACAACTCAGAGCTGTCTATTTTTATTTTAGGGAAAAGGAACACAACCTATGGTCTCATATCCAATCACAAGCCTGACTAAAGGAAGAGGGCTGTGTTATGCCGTCGACAACCAACATAAAACTTGTTGAAACCCTAAACATGGATCACTTCTAACCACTTACAAAAATCTAATCACTTAAAAAAGTAAAACCTATTGGTTGCAAATTGATTTCTTTTTAGCAAGGACCTCTTATAGAAGAGCTTGCAAGGATTGCAAGATGATTCCAAGAGTCTTACTAGTTACTAAACTATATAGGATTTTGTTTTAAGAGTCATAAACAGAAAACCCCAACAAGTTTACAAATCTAAGAATCAAGTGATGGCACCTCAAGGACAAGGGTGACAAACATTTGACTTTTAAGGAAAAAATATTACAAGTAGTTGATCGGGAATCACCAGATAGTGTTAACCTTATTTGGGGTGAGATGTCTACAATTAGGAATGTTGCCAAAGTAATCTTAATTGAATCTAAAGGTTTTGGACCAAGAGATAAATAATCTTACTGGTGGAGTGCCAATGAGCATGTAAAGGTAAGAAACAAAAGAGTGTTTTAAGACCTTACATAGGTGCAATAACACTGAAAATTGAGAATAGTATCAAATGGCTAAAAATGAGATAAGAAAAGTTGAGGTACAATCCAAAACTTATGAGGAGTTTTGCTGAGATCTTGAGACAAAAAATGGAGTACAAGATTGCCAAAATTAGGAAAAGGAAATCAAGAGATTTGAAAGAAGATGTATTAAAGATGACGAGGTAAAGTTCACCTCGATGGTATTCTTATTGAATTTTGGAAATGAGTTGGAGAACTAGATATCATTTGGCTCAATAAATTACTGGATGAGAATTTGAAATCTATGAAAATGTCAAATGAGTGGTGGTTAAGTATTGTGGTTCCTACATATGGCAACATAGATATATTCAAAATTGTGTAAACTACATAACATTGTTATCAGTATCATATGATTCACAATATGAAAATTCAAGCAGTTGGCGGAATCGTTGAACGAATCTTCTTGGGGCTTGAATCACACCATGAATTGCAGGAATCACTTGTTGGAGATGAATTGTGTGATTTTTGATGTACCAAGCTAGATCAAGTCATGCATGACCTAGTTTTGAGTTCTAAAGCCCCTACAAATGTTGTTTTCAAGAGAAAAATATAGTGAAAAGGAGAGGGAATAGGCCAATTGCTTCAGTCCAATCAGACCCAAGGTTGCTCGTTGTCACCTTTTCATGTTTTCTACTCTTGTCTTCTTTCTACTCTTCTTTGCCCCTTCCACAATAAAGTGACTCATTCTTTCCTTCTACATTATAGACATCAAGAGGAAGGGCAAGAGCTTTTGATATTAGAAGATAAAGATGAATCAAGTGATGTTGATCCTGGGATGGTGAATGATCTTAGATAGAGTGACCACTAATCTAGTCTTGGATGAGCTTTATCAAGAACATACAAAAGGTTATCTCTAAATGCATATTTTTGCAAATGATATAGTTCTAATTAAGGAATCAAGGGAAGAGGTTAACTCTAAACTTGAGTTTTGGAGAAAAACTTTAAAATCTAAGGGTTTTCACTTAAGTAGGAGCAAAACATAAATATGCATTACAATTTTAGTAAGAAACAAACATGGGGATAATGATTTGAAGATAAATATTACAAAATGATTGAGAAATTAACAAAAAACACAAGCTAGGTGGTTAAAATGGAGAAGAGCATCTAGATCTAGGCTCATTTGTCACAACAAAGTACCTACCAAACTAAAGGGGAAGTTTTATCATACAACTACAACCAGCTATATTCTATGCTAGTGAATGTTGTGCTTTAAAAGGACAAGAGAATAAAAGTAATAGTAGAAAAAATGACAACAATAAGATGGATGTGTGCTCACACCAAAAAAGATAAGAAATGATTGTATACGAGGAAATGTTGGTGTGACACCTATCAATGAGAAAATAGCAAAAAAACAAAAAAAAAGTTAAAGCAATCCAGACATGTGCAAAAAAGGCCTTTAGAGGCACCAGTAAGAAGAGTAGATTGCTTAGCTCCCTATGAAAAAAGGTAGCGAGACCAAGAAGGACTTTAGAGGAAATTATTAAAAAGAATCTCATGTCAAATAATATCCCCAAAAATATGTTACCCCCTAAAATCTGCAACCAAATATGGCCCAACCTAAAAATGGAAGGGCTAAGAAGTAGAATATCATTACAAGTAACACTAAAATATTCAAACTGGTCATTACAAATCAGCATCCCATCCATATGTTATAACAAACTTCCCAAAAACAATAGCACTCAGTTGCATAACCAATGGTAATAGTTCATTAACCCTTTGTTTAAGTCGAGGTGGAGTAAAGAGAAAATGAGAAGTGTAAGACCCGCAAGCTTTCTCCCTCTCTTTTCCCCATTTCCTTCTCCCAAACCTCATTCATTTTCTTGTTAATTCTCAAGGTTGTTGAGCCATTGGTGTGCAAGGAAAGCTTTGATGTCGTAGTCAAAGTTCTATTCCCGTTTCTTCTCTTCTTCTTTCCTCATAGAGTTGGACTCGGTGTTCTTCATTTCCGAGGTAAGGGAAGTTGGAGACTTTGGTTTTGTTAAATTGGTTGGGTGTTGAACGAATTTAGGACTTAAAGTCAGTAAGATTTTTGAAATTTTCAAATTTGGAGGATGGATTGGAGTTGCTTGCATGTGTGTACTGAGTTTTGAGGTTCTTGTTACATGTGTGGTGAATTGATGATCTTGGGTAAAATGTATGGTTGCATGTTGTCTTTGTGACTTGAACTGAGTTGTTCTTGGTGCATGGGTGTTATTTCTTCTATTGCATGTTGAATTTTTCTAAGTTTTAGATGTGGAGGTTCAAAATGGTGAAGAACATGATGCCCTCTATCATCAAACGGTTTAGTCGTTTTAAAGGGCCGAGCCCTTTGGGGGCCGCGTGACAGAGGGGGATCTCTGGAACCAAAGGATTGAGGCGTTTGAAAGGGCTGAGCCCTTTGGGGGCTGCATGACTAGGAGGATCCCTGGAGGCAAAACGTTGAGTGCTTTGGGAGGCACTGAGCACTTTGGTGCTTTCTGAATCAGACTTTGTTGTCTTCATAAAAGTTGTAGCCTTGGATGTTAACTTTCCAATGGCATTGGAATCACCTAAAAAAGAGATCTAGAACTCCAGTTATGATCTTTTCAGTGAGCAAAGGTCAAGCTGTCAGGATTTAGGCTAATTGTTGCGGTATTTACATTTTTTAACAAAATAGATGATGGAATTAGGACTTGGTGTCTTCATGAAAGTCGTAGGAAATCTTCTTGTCTTTCATATGAGATGAGGATGAGCATGATAGGAGTAGTATAACTTCATATATGTTGTTTTATGTGAAGGTTTCCGTTTCACAATAAGTGATTTAGTTAAGTTGAAAGTTGTTTAGGATGCTTAAGTTGATTTATGTTGTTTGTGTGTAAGTTGGCATAATAGATGAGTTGTAAACATGTTGGTTGAGTTGTATTATGTGTTGAATGTATTGTATGTTGTTGGAGTTGTTTTATAAGTTGTATGTTATTTCATGTGTGGAATGTTGATGTGTTGTTGAAGCATGTTGAGATGATTGTGCTGTGAGACGTGAGATGCATATGTTGTAATTGAGTTGTGAAGTTGTGTAAAGATGTTATGAGTTGAAAGTTGTGAGTTGATTGAGTTGTGTTGTGTTGCCAAAATGTGTTGTTAAATAATGTTGATGAAACTATGTTGTTGTGCTATGTTGATGAGATGTGTTAATCACTTAGGACTAAAGGAGATTTTTTTGAAAGTTTTTCATTTCATTGTGTGGATTGAGTGTGTTGTGGTAGGTCTAGACCAGTTGTTATATCCTGACATAGTACTATACTTCCTTGTTTAACTGGAAAAAGCTGATAAATTATTATCGTGTTGTGAATTGATATCCAATTTGTCGATCCAGTAAGCCCAAAAGGATCGTTGTGTTGTCAACTCAATAGGATCTAGCCACTTAAACTGCTCACCCTGTGTTGTAGGAGATCTCTGAGTTGAAATACGTGACAACGCATATGTGTTGATGTCTTGATATCGTGTTGATATGTGTTGTGTTGAAATGAGTTGTAATGTGGTATTATGTGTTGTATATGTGTTGTTTGTTGTTTGTGTGGGATGTGAAGATGATTATAAAGTTGTCATATTGCATATATATATACATATATATATATATGAGTTGTTTATTTTACTTAACTTACCCTTATATGTTTCCATATATTTTGGACTACGATGATCATACGATATATGGGAGTAGGCAGGGATAAGTTGGATGATAGTTGATAGAGGCCACAAGAGGTGCCTGGAGTTGATTTCTTTTTATAGACTACCCTGGGTGGTAGAATATTTTGTATTTAGTTGTTGATGCTTTTTTGTTGCTTGCTTGGCAACTTGTGTTGTATTTATATAGATGTTCATGGTTGCTAGCTAAGCGACATCAATTATATATATTTATTTTATATTATTCTAGTATATATTTCAATTGTTTTAGTTGTGTTGTATAGTGTGACAACCATGATAGGTCGTTACAAGAAAAGAGAAGTACATGACAAAAACTAGTTTTATATATTTTGTTTGGAGAGAAGAAGAGAAGAAAAGAAAGGATGATTCTCACCTCAAAATAAAATTTCTTCGTAAGAAGAAAATGGAGAATTTAATGATAAAAATGTGAGAGCCACTTCAAATAACAAATTTAACCTTATTTTTATCTATTTTTCAGAAAATCTATTATATATATTAAGGGTAAAAATGCCTTCATAAGAAAACTTAATTTTTCTTTCTCTTCTACTTCTCTCAATCTAAATATCTTAAAACTATTTATTTTCTACTCATTATCTCTTCTCTCTTACGTCTTTCTATCCTATTTCTTTTTTGTATACTTCTCTCCTTATCCAAGCATCTAATGAAATGATCAATTTAATACAGTATGGACCTCACATTCTAGAAGAAACACAGTGAAAAGGATGACCAACTAATGAGCTACAATCTAGTTTAAAGGAAAAAAAGAGTAGAAATTTACAGCCCATGGTGATTAAGGCTTGTTGAAGCAATTCCACTTATAAGGACAAATACTATTATCTATTGTAGTATTAAGTGTTTTAATTCTTATTTTGGTCTTTTGGTGCTTTGAATGAGCTTATGGTACTAGACTAACTTTAAGCAATGAACAAAGTAAAAAAAAAATTATAGATTTTGCAGTAGGTCTTAATTTAGTCAAAAACACATCATATTTCCAACCATGACCACTGGGTCGTGTAAAGATGCCTTGGATATCCACCTTTATTGTGATCACTCCTAAACTGCCTTAGTTGTTGCCTCTTTGGGGACACCTTAATTATAGCCTCAAGGGTGTTGTGGTTTACTCTCACATCAATTAGAGATATGGTTTAAATGAAGCTATAAAGCTCAGGCAATTCTTACCTTACAAGCTAATTTTGTGGAGTTGAGTTAAGCCCCAAACCCAAATTCAAAGACAGCATCAAAGTCTATCCTAGATCCACTGTTTGCCACCTACATTTGCAATGCTCTAGGCCAGCAGTCTTAGGTATGAGGGGGAGTTCTGAAAAGTCACCTTAATTGTGGCCACCTCTAGCCCGCCTTAGTTGCGACCTCTTTAAAGGTTGCCTTAATTGTAACATCAAGGGTGGTGGTTTAGCCAGTGACAACAAAGATATGGCTTAAATAAATCTTATAAAGTTTAGGCAATCCCCATCTTACAAATTAGTTTTAGTAGGAGATTGAGTTAGGTCCCAAACCCAAATTCTAAGAAGGTTCATCAAATGCAAAATTAAACTCAAGAACTTATTCGAATGAGTGTTTGAGCAATAACTTACTTAATAGAGATGGTCAATTCTTTTTGGTGGAATAAGGACAAGTTTTACAACATCATCTGTTAGTTTGACTTTGACTTTAATCAACATTTTTATTTTGTTGATGGTTTTATGTGACTAATGGTTTAACGACAAGGACAGCTAAAATGGTGACATTATTTGGGAAGGGGACTAAAGCAACAGTATGAATGAATTAAAATCATCAAAATGATACCTATTTTCCTGAGGAAAATATAATCATTCACAAGATTTCATGGGATTTTTTTTTCAAGAGTATAAAATGACATCAAATTATTGTTACTATTTTTCAAAAGTATTAAATGACAAGTAAATTATTTTGATGGATATTAGAGGAACACTCTCTAGAGGATAATAGAGAACATCAAATGTACCTATTTTACTGTTATACGGTTGAGACCATGCCATCCAGTAAAACTAATCAAGTCAACTAGTTTTTCTCAGTCAGCTACAAACAATACAAATTGTAAACTTTATCTAAATGCTTAGGAATTAGGATAAGACCCCAAAAAGGTTCCAAGGAAAGCTTCAATAAGATCCTCAATCCTAAACCCAGAAAATATTCCTCAAATTTTTTTCTTTTAATTAGCAGAACTCGGGTTGATGCTAAAGGATCCATCCAACGAAACTACAAACAGTGCAGTATTTAATCGTTTACAAGCAATTAAGCATAGTTATCTGTATCCTAACAAAAACCTTCAAAGTCCAAGGCAATACAATAAGTACAATAGCTTGCAAATAATAAAACGTTCAAAAAATAAAACAATTAACCAAAACAAGGAAATTATGAGAAATTATCTCAACAAGCCTGCAAAATCAAGAAACTTGAAAATCATTATGGTCCCTATAAATCGATATAACAAGATGCGAAAACCAATTCCCCATTTCCACATATTCAATCAGAACCGCGGTTCATCACACCATCCAAACAACAGCAACAACAAAAATCTCATCCCACCAGGTGAGGTCGGTTCCATGAATCACACGACAAAACATCAATCGACAAGATCAAATCAGAACCCTATTAATTGTCATTCAAAGATGTGAAATCCGATTCCCCATTTCCTCGTATTCAATCAAATCAGAACCCCGGTTCACCAAACCATCCAAACAACAACAAAAGCCTCACCCACCACGTGAAATCGTCAACACAATCACAAGACACAACATCATTGGCTCAGCTAAAAATCAAAATCAACCCATCCAAACCTTAAACCAAAATCCAACAAACCACAAACCCATTCACAAACAAACAACACAAGGCATCCTCAACACCCATAAATCAACACAAAAACCCAAAACGAGGTACCTGAAGAGGCGGATTCGACGGGATCGAGATTGGGCACTGCGATTGGAGATTGAAGCGAAACGAAAGCGGCTCCGGAAGGCACAAAGAGGAGGAAGAAGAAGAAAACGCAGACGCGAATTGAAGCATAACCACGCAAAGGAGAGAAAAAAGAAGAAGAAACGAAGCAGCCATGGAGGAAGGGCAGGGAGAATAAATACGATACAAAGCGAAGGGCAAAACGGGGAAATTGAGAAAAAAATAAAAGGTTTTAGGTTATCGTGTTGCGTTCGACGGTGGTGACGGTGGTGGTGGTGGTGGCGGTGACGGTGGTTGTTGATATTTTTGTTGCGATTGCGAGGAGAGGAGAAAGGGGGAAGCTTTCCAGCTCAAAATTGGAATGATGTGTATATTTATGGGTACGATGTTGCACACTCTCTTTCTCTTTCTCTTTCTCTTTCTCTTTCTCTTTCTCTTACATTCAGATACTTAAATATCGCTTTCTCTCTCCTACCCTCCGAGTATACCTCGTGTGTCTTTTCTTTTCAACACCCATTCTTTTTCTTTTTCTTTTTCTTTTTATAAAATCTCCAAAATTCCCCACGACTTTTTTTATTTTATTTTTTTTAAATCGTCTTATTTTGGTCCAATAAAATTGTTATGGGTCACAAAAAATTTTCATATTTGATACTCCCTATGTTGTACAAGTAATGCAAGTAATGTTTTTATACTCAAATTAAAATACATGTATTATTTGTTATATAATTTTATTAAAATATTTTTTCTTATAAATATATTATTTTTAATGGTAATAGTTGAATAATTTATAAAGAGATAAATTAGGAAAGTGATTAATATTATGTCAAAAAAAGTGAGAATATTATTAATTTTTTATTATTTTATAATGCTAAAGTATAAAAAGTTACATTTAAGGAAAGGATAAATATAGATATAATTTCTTATGTGTGATTATTGTTGTTCTTTAATCATAATTAAAATTTTATTTTAATAGTATAAGTAAATGTATATTAATAAGATTTGTATTAAATGTATTTGTATAATATTAAAATAAAACTTAAATTATAATTAGAGAATAATACCAATCGTATTTAAAGGACTTTATTTAAATTTTATTTTTAAAGAAATTGTATGTCAGAACTCGAATTTGAAACCATTAATTAAATTAAAGATGCCTTCAATTCTAATCGTAGAATTCATTTTAAGTTTTTAATAAATATTTTATAGGTGATCTTTTTATATTTTGCTCAATCAAAAGGTTTTTAATTAATTTTATGTAGATTTTATAATAGAGTCAATTTCTTCTTTTTTAGTTATAAAAAATTGATTTTTAATTATTCTTATATAAGAATGTTCTTGCACCATGTATGACACGTCAAATTCTTCTAGTGGTAAAATTTACAAGAAATAGTTCTTATATTTAACAACACAATTAAAAATTCTTATTGGAGATGATCTTTTAGTAAATTTTTTAATTATATTATTAATATAGAGTATTTATTAACTTTACCATGACTAATCATTGAGTTGAAATAAATTCATTTCAATTGATTCACGTGCTTGATGTTCACTTTAATGAATATGGTTTTAATTTCTTGTATTTGTTTTATTATGTAGTAATGTAACTTGTACGAAATATTCACCAACTTTATCATGATTAATTTTTAAACTTAACAATTTCACGTTAATTAACTTATATGTCCAATAGTCACTTTAATTAATTTAATTATAATTTTATTATCTTTGATATTATTTTGTAACATGTTATCGGTTAAAAATGATTTATTAGTAAGATATTATTCGTTTTGGGTCTAATCCTTACAGTTTTGTTTTTCGATACCATCCAAAAGGCCTCTCTACTTAGGAGTGTTCATGGATTGGTTTTTTCAAAAAACCGATCCAAACCGAACCGAACCGTTTTATAAAAGTGGATCGGTTAACCGATCCATTTTTTATAAAGTGGATCGGTTTGATTTTTTTAAAATACGGATCGATTTTTTTGAAATTGGATCGGTTCGGTGCGGTGCAGTTATCCATTTTTTTACTCATATATGGATCGGTTTTTTTAGAAAACCAAATCGAACCGAACCGATCTACTTTGTAAAAATGGATTGGATAATTGAACTGGTTTTATAAAGTGGTTCGGTTCAGATTTTTTTTCAAAATGGATCGGATTTTTCAATATGGATCGGATCTGTTCAGATCAATTTGGATTTTTTGCACACCCCTATCTCTACCAATAGAGACAATTGTCTGTATATAAATTCATGTTCATCATCTTATTTGAACGACGTGGGACTTTGCTTGCATTAGAAACATATGAATGTACAACATTACATTTTTTTAACATTTGTAATATATATATATATATATAATATCACTATAAACATGTGACATTTATCATACAATTTATTTACTAATAATGTATAGTTTAGTCTAACAAATGATTTATGAACTACCATTTATCTATACAAGTAAAATTAATTGTATAATAATATTAAATATTATATATGATCAACTTTTTGTTATTAATATGAAAATTTTCAACAACAATAACATTTATATACAAATCCTCGTGCATTTAATCCAATCTCCACCAAAATATATATATATATATATATATATATATATATTTTGTCAGCACAACTTAAAATTTTTGGATTTGCTTCTATGTATTTTTTATACTCAAATCGTTTAAAGTGATCAAATCCAATTTTACTCGCTTGTTGGTTAATTATCTTTGGTTTTAGTTGTTTGTAAATGGCTTTTATAATTTACAAAATATTTAAATTAAGCCTCTTATTTTAAATTTTATCTGATAACTAACAAAAATATAATAAAATTGTAACGTGATATTAATTTATGAAGATGGAATAAATAAAAATAAAACACATAGATATATTGCAACTCATTTTATAGATTTATATTTTTTAATTTTATTTAAATTTTGTATGCATTTTGTTATTGCTAATTTATGCAAACTAATGACTTGTTATAATTTTGTATATTTAATTAACTATTGAACAAGACTCAAATTCAGAGATATAATACCAGTAAAATTTAGTACAATTATTAGTAGATACTTGAGTTTCTTTTAAACATGTTGTCAAGATTTAAACTTTAGCTATGCCTATAGAAAAAAACAATAATAATAAAGAAAGAAAGTTGAGGAATTTAGTTTTAAGAACTGAAAATTTCTAAATATCAAATAAAAGTAATTTTAAAAAAATTAAAGCTGTTGGGAAATTAAATATAAAAAATAAAATATAACCAAGCATATATTCTAGTGTGTCATTGTCAATGTTGTCGTAGAATAGAATATAAAGAGATATAAAGAAGAAAAATATCCACATTGACCGAATTGTGTATTTCCCACGCAATAGACTTTTTCGTGACAAATTTACTTTATAATTACATTATCTTTTTTTTTTCTGTTACATTTATAATTAGATTCTATATTACTGGTCAATTTTCTTATTTCTTTTTCTTGTATAAAATAAAGAGTATTCCCTTTTGTCATTTCTATCCTTAGAATGTATTACGGAGTTGTTATTTTTAAAATAATTGTTCGAAACAAATAATAAAATTTTATTGATCTTAATTAATTTAATAAGTTTTATTTATGATTTTTTAATTTTCAATAAATGTTATAAACACTAGAAAATTGTGTTAAGAAATATATTAGAAAATATGTTATTAATACTCTTTTATTTTCAAATACAATACTTTGATTGATGGATAAAAGTTGTTAACGCGTTGAGGTGTAAAATTAGCGATTAGATTATATTTTTATTATGAATTTTAAAATATTCCTACGGTTGATATAATTTTAGAGTTTATGATTGAAAGTTAACAACTAACCCTTTTAGTTGCTTTTTTATAGTTTAATTTTATACAATCAACTAGTTAAAATATGTTTTCTATAATTTCTAAATATATTTTCAATAATTTTAAAAGTAATTATAATTGAACGACAATATAATTATAAATATTTATCCTACTAACGCATTTCGATTATAATCTAAATTTTTATTTAATGCAAACTAATTACTATAAAAAACTTTAAAAGCCATTTTTGTAATATTACTATTGAAAGCAACTGTTTTAGATAATGTAAATGAAATAAGTTATCTTAAAATGGCTTTCACAACTACCTAAATGGACACTTAATATAAGAACTTTGTTATGTAATGCAAAAATGTTAATAAAAACTTACAAATATGGTAAGTGAGTGTTTTTTTAGTTTTAACGGTGCTTTGTTATATGCGTAGCGATGAGTTAAATCGACGTAACAGCATCGCACCATGCCTAATCAAAAATGTTGGTCCAACAAACTTTTACAGCGTTAGCAACAAAGTAGTGTTTTATGGTGGTGCAATAACTTTATCGTTAAGTGTCGTCCACGTATGAATATTTGAGTGTGGTTAGTTGAACTTATCTTTTCATATTTTTGGAGGGTTAAAATATTTTTTTAAAATTTTACATGTACATGGGTCAAATTGACCTTGTCAAAGTTAGGGATGACAAAACAGGTCAGTTCAATAATGACTTGTCAAAAATGGGATCGAGTTGGATCGGCCCATCATTGAAAAAATGGATTGAAAATGTTGCCTCTCTCGTCTAAGGGTGGGTTGATGGATCGACGGTCTAGCCCGCATACTACTAAAAAAAACTTGTAAAAAAAACGTATTTTATGGTCAAATAAAAAAACTACTACAAATAAATAAATATAACTACATGAAACTAAAAATGCATACATATTATGCATAATATATGTTCAACAAAAGCAAATTACAAACTTACAACAAAATCAAATAGAAATTAATCCACTTACAATAAAATAAAAATCAAATTACAAACTTATACATACATATATATTTAGAGAGAGAGAAGAGGAATCTTTTTACTCCAAGAGTAAGTCTACCTAGACTTACTCCGTTTAATAACTAATGTTCTACATCAAATTTCAACAATTCAACCATTCAATTTAAAGTTCTTAATGCATAGATTAAATCTATAAATTTTTAGAAAATTTAAAAATCATTTGATACTTCATTTCATTAATTCAAATTAATGGATAACTATAAAATCATTCTATACATTGATTCGAATTAATGAAACGAAGTATCAAATGATTTTTAAATTTTCTAAAAATTTGCATATTTGATTTATGCATTAAGAATTTTAAATTAAACAATTTGATCGTTAAAATTTCATGTAGAACATGAGTTATTGAACGAAGTAAGTTACTCTTAGACTTATCTCATTCAATAACTCATATTTTACCTTAAATTTTAATGATTTAATTGTTAAATTAAAATTTCTTAATACATAGATCAAGTTTGTAAGTTTTTTTAAAAAATGAAAATTATTTTATACTTTGTTTCATTAATTCAAATTAACAATTAATCATAAAAATATTTTATACATTAATTTGAATTAATGAAACGAAATATCAAATAATTTTTAAATTTTTTAAAATTTAAAAAATTG